TACTTTTAGGTTAGGCGTGTATGGAGTCATTGGCGGTTTGTTTTGGAAGGAAAGTCTGGAAAGAAATGTTAGTAGAAGTAATGTCAATATCCATTTCTAAGGGCACTTCGATGTGGGAAAATTGTTATCAGTTTGCTGTTCAAATAAAGGTTCTTTGTTGTCCTTTGACATAACGTTTGTAATAATTTTTTCGATTTCTGGGTCAATATCGTCTTCGTTTGGAAGTGTAAAATTTTTTTGTTTTTTCTGTGAAATATTGTTTTCGTTTGTTTCGGTTATTTTTGAAGAAGAGCTTGAAATATTAGAGTTGTTAACTATGATATTTCGTTTATTTCGTTGATAAGTATTTTTCGTTTGTAGTTTAGAAGAAGTCGCTCTAGTAACTGGCATAATTTTTATTTTTTGTGTCAATCTTTTTTAGTGAACTGGACATTTGGGAGAAAGAGTTTTTTTTTGATTTTTTTTTAATTTTGGATTATCTCATCTCGAGATATTTGCAATCGTATTTCAAAATCCAGACTCCTTTATTTAAAATAGAATTTATTGATTTATAATTTCAGCTGATAATACAATTGCGAGTGTCTCGTGATTTGATGATCCAAAATCAATGAATATTAGCTCATTGGATCCGCCTAGTTTCGAGGAATTGAATGGTAGTTGTTTCATACAAATCGGAGCGATATTGACCGAGATCTTATATATTTTGTTTTTTGTTTTTTCTAAATATAAAAAATCATGTGATATGACATCATTTGACTATTTCGTGACTTTAGCCTCCAATAGTCAAAATGATTTCGACCATTTTGACCATTTCAGATATCCAAAATGATCAATTTCGACTTCATGTATAGTGCGAAACACTAATCATAGTAGTTTAGAAATTTTAATCCATATATTTGCACTTGCATATTCAGATTTTTAATATCTCCTAAGTGAATAATAGAGTATTTCTGTTTATTTAAAGAATAACGCACAGTTAGGGAGGAGCAGAAACTCTCGATATCATGAGGAAAAAATCCTAATCACATTGTTTTTCTAGGCTGGCATTTTCTAATCTTCAGCAATGGCATAACAAACAGCTCACGACATTTGCTGTAGTTTCATCAGTATATATGAACCATAATCCTTCTAAAAAAATAATTCACTACCCTGAGACAGAACTTTCAAGACCTTTATTTTTCGTTCGTAATTGATTATTTTTGTCAAGGAAGCATTTACATTACGTTCTGCTAACTTTTTAATATGGTTGTATGCTAGTATACAGTCAAACCTTGATATAGTGAACCCTTGATATAGCGAATTTTTAAATCAAATATATTAAAATTACCTTACTATAGTGAACTAGCCAATTAAATTCTTTAAAAAATTCGTTATAAGCTTATAACGAAGTTGATATTCAGATCCTAGAATTCGTTATATCAAGAGTTTACTGTATTCGCTTCTTCTATCGATAAGTATATTACGGTTGCAGAATATATAGCTTCGAAAGTACTTTCTAGAAAAACATTTCTATTCTAGCTACTAAATTTGCCATAATAAAACTTTGTTAGTAATCCAATATCACTAAATAAATGACGAATAGCTAAATGATTTGTATACTACCTTTTTAAACATTTTCACATCTCAGATTCATAAATCTTTAGCTTGGGATTATGGATAAGCACTTCAAAGATAAAATAAATGGATAATGTAAAAAGCTAAACAATGTATTTTTTGCGCCAAATTTTCACAAAGAAATAGCAAGCATTATGAGATAATTAGTTATGATAATCAGTCTGTTATACAAATAATTTAGCCGATACTTATTGATCGAACTGCATCAAGAAAATAATGTTATAGCCGATAAGTTTGTAATAACATTTGTCAAGCCAAAAATTCAGGAGTACTAGATGATCTAATATGGGCTGTGTAGATCTCTCGTGATTTACAGAGGATTTGCTAGAACTTTGCACAATATATATCATATCCAGAGACATATGACCCAACTATTATTAACTCTGCTAATCACTTCACTAAGTAAAAAAAATCGTAATTTTACTTTTGATTTTACCTGAAAAATTAATATATCGAATCAGATGCTTAGCTTCAATATAAAATTAGAGTCTGATCTGATATGGTCAGTCGTACGATTTCATAAAAAAAATATGTATTAGTATGTAATCCCTAAAATATTCTGTATAAAAAGTCCTGTAATAGGAACTGATATCTCATCATTTCTATCTGGAATATAAATAATAAGGAAGGTATTAGATATAAAAAATCAATATCTGTCCAAAAAAAAAAATCAAAGAGCGTATCTAAAAAATAGGCCTGAAGTAGAATATGATTATATAAATATATATTTCTTTTTTCTAAGCAAGACGCATAAATATTAACGATCACCTAAATAATATTTTTTCAGTAGTGTCACATATTTTTCCCATAAAACATATTAAGTGATTTCCAAAAAAAAATCTTTTTATCTTTACATTTCAAAGGATTGGAGAAAAGAAAATGAGCAAATTCATTCATGTTACTTTTCTTGTTATTCTTACTAGCACATTTTTTGGATATAATCGATGTCAGGTAATTGGTATTAGTATTAAAAAGGATACATCAGTTACCGCATTAAAATCTCAGATCCAAAAATATCACTTGGATGAGAAATTTAGAAATGCCTCTTTTTCTCTACGTGCAATCGATTATGAGGTAAAGACATATAGGGATATGAAATCAGAAGATAAGATTAGTGATTATTTTATTAAAAATCCTTCTATGTTTGATAAACATATTTATATTCTTGTGGTATCTGCTGTGAACAAAAAAAATAAGACATAAAATTTATAAGATATAAACAAGTAAAAAAAACAAGATTTTTTTATAGTTCTAATTATAAAAGAAAATCATATGACTAGAATTTCAGCCGAGCCTGCCAAAACAATAGCCAAGATTTTATACAATAAAGATATTTTTTCGTATTTCTAGATATAAAATATAATAAATTTTTGTGTAGTTACATGGGAAAATATAGTCAGATCCAAAACCTGTTCCGAAAAACAATGACTGCTTCTATTCTTTAGCTTCCTAACTATCACCATTATCACTATTGCTACTGCTACTACTGTTACTAGAATCCCTCCTCCCTTCTCTATTAACCCATGTTTCAATTTTATCCAAGGAAATAATCCTCGGTGTTTTTTTAATGGCGGTAGAAACTCGCCAAAGTCGCAAAGCTTAAATGTATTTTTTGAGAAATTATATTGTATAATTGTGTATGGAAGCATCCCTCCCTTCTTCTTCTTTGATTAAATAAGGCTATAAATTCTACCCATAAAGTTTGGACTTCATCGGAATATTCCGAATATTGGCTGGTAGATATATGGCTAGAAGAGAATCGAGATAAATCTAACAATAAATAATAAAAAAGTTAGTATCTATTTACCCTTGAGGATATATGCAAAGACAACCAGGAAGAGCAGAATATTTCTTACCTTGCAATACACGGTCTCTCCTTTTATTTTTTGTATTTCATTATTTAATGCCAATATTGATTTCTCAAGTTTGGCAATTTGTGGGGTCGGAGTTGGAGAGAGATATTTGCATAAGCCCCCTGCAAAGATTATATATATTATGGCATTTCCTGAAAAAATGCCTTGGAGCACCTCTATTGTTAGGACACCCCGGGTTAGCATCTCATAGATTATAATTATGTACGATCAAAAACATATCAGAGTTTGAAAGCATTTTGCGAAGATAGATGAGAAATTGAGATTGTTAGAGTTTTTGAGAGTATGTGCAGAATTTTATGTTTCAATTGTTTTTTTTTCTTAATAGAAACGCCTCCAATACACCCAGTTTTTATAATTAAGACCCTTTCCGCAGTTAATCACAACGATCATCGCAAAACATGAAAGTCCCTAGATCTTCGCTGAAAATCATATTATCCAATAATTTGCCGATCCAGATTACCCTGTATTAACATGAAGAATAAAAAATTAGTATGTAGATTCCAGAGGAATTACACCAATCACTCCCACACGAGAAAAAATAAATTGACTATATTGCTCGGGTAACTTAGTACCCTAAACGTTTTTTTATTTGCAATATGAGCCTGGTCCTAAAGGGACCGCTAAAATAAATTACATGATGCGGGACTTGGTCCATGATACATGACGATTTTTTCTATGCCCCAGTCTTAAAGGAACCCGCTTCATCATGATAGTCTATCCTATTCATTGCGTCTGTTCTATCCACCACCCAATTTCATCCTGACCTTGGTCGCAACACTAATGAAACCCTTGAAAGGGAACTATGTATTAGTTACAAGCTCTGAAGACGCCTCCTTGCAAATGCTCAGCCTAAACCGAAAGTAAATACCTACCCTTAATTGTCTAATGTCTCGTCTGGTGTTTCGCTAAGTAACTTTTGTTTCGCTGGCACTTTTTCAATACGCAGTGAGTATGCCCGTATTTACAGGTTGTAAAGAATTTTTTTTTCATTTATATGCGACTCTTACGTTACACATCCTATTCTTCGGCAAGAGTTTTTCCGATATCGTACTGCGCATTTCAGGTGATCGATCTATCCTGCGAGCATTATTGGTTCTTCCAATCCTCCTTATCTTTCTTCAACTCTTCTTTTTCTTTCTCCAGTTTGTCTCTCAGTGCTTCTCACCCCTTCTTTTGTTTTACAGTCCTCTCATTTCCATTCAATATCTTGTTCTACAACTCGTTTAACCTTTTCTCTTTCTCCCCTTCCTCAAACTTTTTATTTCTTCAATTGGAAAGGTTATAAAGGATTTTTTCTGTTACTGTTTCCCGTTTGTCATTTTCCTTTAATCCTAACAAAATGAGTGTCGCAACAGAAGGCTAAGACATGCCCATTCAAGTTACTCGGGAGACCAGACAAGCCTCCAAAATTAACCAGATATTTAAGTGATGTTTAAAACAAATTAAGAAATGGCAATTATGGCTAACGAAGTATAATAGATCTTCGCAAAGATTGATGACTCATTAACGCAAATGCAAGGTCAAAACATTGTAAAGATCAATATCCCAGATCTTGAAAAAGTTGATAAACACATTCGTGAGGTCATACATAGTAATTATAATGCTCAAATAATCGATAGTGACATATTTATTAAGGTAAGTTTTATTCCGAACTACATTTACATTTACTGTATCATTATTAAATCTAACCAATTTATTTAGTGCGATGGAAAAAATAAAGAAGATATTCAACTTGAACTTGCATTTTCGGCTAGGGTACATAATCCAACTTGGTCCGTATCATTAAATACAATATGTGTGGCTGGAGGCAATAGTTATCAACCTGATATTGGCATCTGGTTTCAAAAGCCAACGTATGCACAACGTAATAGTCCAATTGTAAATCGGTGTCCACCACCAAATGTATACATAGAGGTAAATAAATTTCTTGCAGAGAAGAATTGTAAATTGCTTTACTTATCAGTTTGAACCTTGCAGGTATTTTATAATCAAGATCCAGATCGAAGGAACGCGTTGGAGAGAATCACTAATGT